GCAGCACTTGCAGCCTCTTCAATTGTCTTCAGGAAATATCATATTGGTTATTCTGCAAGACTTCTCCAAAGGGCCATAATGGTATATATATATATATATATATATATATATATTTCTATGCATCTATCTGGTTTAGTTAATCTTCATTTTCTTGTCACAAATATGTATAATCTGGTTCAATATTTTAGGTTTTCGAGTTTGCTGATAAATACAGAGGATCATACAATGATAGCCTGGGAATGTGGGTATGCCCATTCTATTGTGATTTTGGTGGCTACCAGGTAGGCCAAGATTGAATTGGATTCTAGTTTTACAAATATGGTGGAATTTTATATTTACAAACATTCCATTGGGTATTAGAAAAAAATTACTTGAATAATTTGTGAATGATATTAATATATAGGACGAATTGGTGTGGGGAGCAGCATGGTTATTGAAGGCTACTAGGCTCCCTTATTACTTGAATTATATTGACCAAAACATTCACAATGTGAATAACTTCGCTGAATTTGGATGGGACTCAAAGGATGCTGGCATCAACGTGCTCCTTTCTAAGGTATATAACCCTAGTTTTCTGCTTTTAAACATTAACTGCTATTTCTTTCTGCAGCTACTTTTTTTTCATTTGTATCATATTTTACTCCATCCATGGTAATGTTTATGTTCTTGCTGATGATTTTTTTGCTTTTCTAACCATGATTACCGGCAGCTTCTAATCAATAGTACCTCAAATTCTATGCCTTTCATCTTCAATGCGGACAAGTTTGTTTGTTCTGTGTTACCTGAATCACCTTCAGTATCAGTCTCATACTCTCCAGGTATATTAACTGCCCATGATGCAAAAGTACACAATCATATTATATGAAGACAAGTTTGCACTATTGGATTCAGAATCTTCCAAACTCTGGTTTCCTGTCGATGATCTAACTCAGTTACACTTTTGAGAAATTAGGTGGGCTTCTATTCAAGCCTGGAGGGAGTAATTTGCAGCATACAACAGCAATCTCATTCCTGTTTCTGGTTCATGCTGACTATTTGAGAAAGACAAATAAAGAGATTGATTGTGGCGGTGAAGTTTTTGCTTCTTCAACCCGACTAAAACAAATAGCAAGAGGCCAGGTACATGGTTTTGTGAATATAATTTATGTAATGTAACAGAGAATTCTATGCATGAAAGATATAACAGATAATAACATATATGTGGATATTGAACATCTATTGTTAATTTGTTTTCATAGATTTAAGTCATGTGCAGGTGGATTACATACTAGGAAGCAATCCACTGAATATGTCATACATGGTAGGATATGGATCAAAATATCCTGAAAGAATACATCATCGTGCGTCGTCATTGCCATCAATGGATCAGTACCCTCCTCACATTGGTTGCAAAGAAGGATCATTTTATTATGAAACTCAAAATCCAAACTCCAACTTACTCTTAGGAGCTGTTGTGGGGGGACCTGATTCTAATGATTCATACGCAGATTCTCGATCAGATTTTGTACAGTCTGAACCTACAACATACATCAATGCACCTCTAGTGGGTGTTTTGGCCTACTTCAATGCACATCCATGTTAAACTCAAACCTTAAGACTTCCATTTTCTTTATCCAAACTCTTTTCTACTCTCTCTCTCTTCTTCTTTTTTCTTTATTTGTCTTAATTTCCTCATTCGTTTTCACTTTTCTTTTGAATTTTTTTGGTTACGCCACGCCCTGTTTCTATATAGAATGTCAATTGAAATATAGTGTCTATACGTGGTCTATTATTAATACATAATCACAATAGTTATTAAACTTTTTTTGTTTATAATTTATTAAAAACTTTAAAATCATTAATTCAACTCATTAAATAAATTACATATGCGAAAGACAGTCTTTTCTGACAACCAATTTTCCTTACATTAATATTTCAAAGTAAAATACTTATTTTACTAATGAAAAAAAAGGTCAACTCATTTTTTATTGAATAAATTTTTAATTTTTTTGACAAGAAGAAAGTAATAAATTAAATTAATTTTTTCATAAGTTAAAATTAATTTATTCATAAAATCAAATTTTATAAAAGTTTAAATATATTTTTTTTAAATAACTTCTACATGTTGACTATTTTAACTTATAAAAGAAGTTTTCCCATGCATGATAATATTGTTTGTATAAACACTCCTCTTAAATGCTAATTTATTTAAGCCAAACAAATTAAAAAAAAACTTCGATAACATAAATTTTATTTTTCACTTTAGATATCATGATTTTTCTCATACTAACAATGTTTCTAAAAAAGTATATATCCTCTTACACATTTATTCCCTTAATATTCCTTCTACTTGTTTATAAAAATAACACATTAGTATTTTGAAAAGATAAAAAAAGTACATGTAGTACTTTATCCTTTTTTATAACTAGGAGATTTCGTATATATATATATATATATATATATATATATATATATATATATATATATATATATATATATATCGGGAAAAACTTAAAATAGTTCTTTTAGCTATACAAAGAAAATAGTACATATATACATTGATAATATGATTATGATTCCAAAGGAGTAAAATGTGTGAGAAATTGGGTAAATGACAAAAATACAAATAAACGGAGTTGTTCGGTAAAGATCGATTAACGAGAAAAGAAATAAATGGCCTCTTTCTAAATATTTTTGTGCAAAATAAGTGAGACATATAACGATAAAATGCGATAAGAATATGATTTATTTACCTTTTGTCACTTATAGAATAACAAAATCAATTATCTTCGTTAATAATTAACTAATGTGATGACTCAGAAACATTATCTTGATCTCGACTCTAATTATAACTAATATCGTCCACTCAACTAATGTGATTTATGAAGGTACATAAACAAGTCTATAGTTGTGGCTAAAAGGTTGTGCTGGTAAAAATAATGTTAATGTTCAAATTTCAAGTCTATATTGCTATAATTAATCATTATCTGTTTTGAAATTTAATTCAACTATCTTATGATTTTATTTTTAAATAATGTAAAACTTATAAACCTTATACAAGCACCATTCTTGAAATCGAAAAATCATACATCAACTTGTATTGATTATAATAATCGTCATCGCTAATTTAGGAAAAGTAAAATACTATATATCCTTATGCTTAATCTAATTTTACTCCACCCCATTATCCAAACCAACAATTTCTCAACATAATAATCTAGCCAAGTATATCACCCTCTACTTCCCAAAGCAACATAATACTTTCTATAATAAAATTTTCTACTTAAAAATCCTTTAACCTGGCATACAGTATCAGCATGCAAACAAAGGCAATACATTGTAATTTATTAATTGTGAGAAGAACGATACTACAAACTTTTTAATACTACACATATTCTTTTAATACTTTTTTAGTTTCACATAGTATATTTATTATTTATCTTATTCGTATCTGTTTAGTGTGATAGTGGTAAACACGTGGGAATGCAATGAGCAAATATGAGATGTGAGAAGAGGGAGTGTCTGGTTATTTATAGAGATGCAGAGGTGAATGGAGAGTGCAGAGATGCACAGAGCAAAAGACGAGAGAGGAAAGAGAGTAGCCATGTCAAAGGTATCATGCATAGTAAGAATGATAATGATGGTGGTGGTGATGGTGATGGTGACAGTGACGAAAGCAACTTCAATGAACTACGCAGAAGCATTAGGAAAGAGCATTCTCTTCTTCGAAGGTCAGAGGTCTGGCAAGTTGCCACCTTCTCAACGCATGAAATGGAGGAAAGACTCAGCACTTCATGATGGTTCCGATATTCATGTAATTAATCTCTCTCTCAAAAAAAGAAAAAATCTCTCTCTCTCTCTCTCTCTCTATATATATATATATAATATTTAAACATATTTTCAGTATTTATAAATATAAAAAAATTTGATTTGAAAGTTGTCCAAATCATGATAATTTTCTAAAAATTGAGTTTTATACCATGGAAAAGATATCAGTTGAATTCACTTAAATAACTACACCTATTTTAAACTAAAACCCAGATACTCTTTCATTTGTCAGGAGATTTATTAAAGAAAGAGAACATCAATCACACATATTAACACCAATTTTAATAAAAGATCTTAAAAATTAATTATAAATTTTTATTTCTTATACGTTATTCACTTTACTTATGACTTAAACTCGCACCTATATTTTTTAACCATCTTTTATTTTATTTTTTCATTATTGATTATTTGTTAAATTAATGTAAATTTTAAGAAAGTTTTTAGGTTTGTGATATCATGTTATTATTGGAAAATCTCTTTTAATTTTTAAAATAAATAGTTATTTGTCTCTCTTAAATTAATATTAAAGAACAAAATCAAGAGTTTAAATTTTTGGTAAATGATTTTTTTCCTACATGGACAAAAATAAAAACAAAAAATTATTGGTGTTACAGAAAAATGATCAATGTTAAAGAAAAAATTTAAAGAATTAAAATTAAAAGCCGTCTTATTTTAATACCTAACCCAATTATTATTGTTGAGTTACTTTTCGAAACATGGAATTAACTTTATCCTTTAGAATTTAGGGTGTTTTGGAAACCTTGGTTTATCTTTTCAATTTCATTGCTAACAAAAAATTAATTAATAAACATATTAATAATGAAATATACACTAAAATAGTTAAAGCCTATTGATTTTCTTAAAAAAAGTTTGACAGTATGTTTGGATCATTGTTAGAGATAATTTATAAAAATATAGATAAATTAAAATCTACTCGTTAACCTAAATAATTACTTTCCTTAATTGTTATAGATTAATTAACCGAGTAAAAGTATTAATTATAGAAAAATAACTACAATTAAAAGTGCTTTAATTATTTGAAAAATGTACATACTATTGTATTCCGCATCAATTTCCTTAATTGTCATAAATTAACTAACTGAGTAAAAGTCTTAACTACAAGATTATTACTATAATTAAATTTGCTTTTTACTAATTGAAAAGTGTGTATGTTGTATTCTGCGTCGCATCAGATGGATTTGGTAGGTGGATATTATGATGCTGGTGACAATGTGAAATTCAATTTTCCTATGGCATTCACCACGACGATGCTAGCGTGGAGTGTGGTTGAGTTCGGAGATTCGATGGGTTCAGAGCTTAAAAATGCATTGGATGCAATTAGGTGGGGAGCTGATTATTTCATTAAAGCCACCAAATTTCCTGATAAGGTTGTCGCAGTAGTGGGCGATCCCGTTCAGGATCACGATTGTTGGGAGAGACCAGAAGACATGGACACTCCTCGAACCACGTACTATGTAACTCAAAACAAACCAGGTTCAGAAGTTTCTGCTGAGATTGCAGCAGCACTTGCAGCATCTTCCATTGCATTTAGGTCAACCGATGCTTCCTATTCCAACTTTCTTCTCAATAGGGCTATTCGGGTAGTATTTCAATTTCACAGTAACTATATATGCGTACTCATCTACTGTAATTAATATTAATGTCTTTTAATGACTTGTCTTGTCTTGATTACTTAGGTGTTTGACTTTGCAAATAAGTATCGGGGATCTTATAATCTCAGCGTAGGTGCGGGAGCATGTCCATTCTACTGTGATATTAGTGGTTACATGGTATAAGTTTCACTCTCATAATATTATCATATTTTTTGTATGAAAAATGAAGTACAAATTTTTCTTATTATTACACCATTCAGGATGAGTTGGTCTGGGGTGCAGCATGGTTGTATAAAGCCACAAGTAAAACCAGTTATTGGGATTTTGTAAAAGCAAATATTCATTCATTAGACTATAATATTTATCAATTTGGATGGGATAGCAAGAATGCTGGCATAAATGTGCTTGTTTCTCAGGTTAGTTTAGTCATCTTTCATTTTCTCTTATTTCTTAACCTTTCGTTTTAGTAAATTGATCTAACTTTCGGTTCAAGTTTTTTAAAGGATGCACCTTGATTTTGCTAACTTTGTATCCTTTCAATCTTGCAGTGGGCGATGGGTGATTCAAGTAGCGCAAGTCTTTTCATTCCTAACGCAGATAGATTTATCTGTTCTCTGTCGCCAAATTCGCCAACCAAATCAGTCTCCTACACTAAAGGTACCAAAAAACACACAAACATACATATACTTTGTGACTAATTAATTGAATCCAATGAAAAATTGATTGGTGATTAGGTGGTCTTCTCTTCAAACCTGGAATAGCTAATATACAAAACCCAACAGCTTTGTCATTTCTCTTAATTGTTTATGCACGCAACATGCATGCTGCGAAGAAAACAATACAATGTGAGAAAGAAGTTGTCGACCCGAATTGGCTTATAAAAATAGCAAAAAGTCAGGTATATATGCAATTACATTGCATGCATGCAAAAGGATAATTAAGCTTGATAATCTTTGTTTGAAGAACTAGTAATGAATTCATGTATACTATGAATGTAGGTGGATTACATATTGGGAAATAACCCACTAGGAATGTCATACATGGTGGGGTATGGAGGCAAGTTTCCAGAAAGAGTGCATCATCGTGGTTCAGTGATACCATCTTTGGATTCCATCCCACAGAAAGTGGGGTGTCGTAATGGAGATAAATACTTCAAAGAAAACAGGCCTAATATTAACGTGCTGACAGGGGCTCTTGTTGGAGGACCAGGACAAGATGATTCCTTTGTAGATTCCCGCTATAATCCTTCCCAAACAGAGCCAACCACATACATGAATGCTCCTTTTGTTGGTGTTTTGGCTTACTTCAACAAACCCACTATTACTGCTACTGTTATTTAGTTATGTTGCTGCATAAACATTGCACACACACATGTCTATAATAAAGTATGTGTAAACAGAAAATACACACAATATGTATGTACATTTCAATAACATATTCATTTCTCATAACATCCTTTTGTTTTTCATTCAATTTTTCCATTCACATCACCTACATCTCACATTTTATTATCTCTCCTTTTTCTTTTTAATGATTCGATGAAAGATAGACATACTTCTAAAAAAACTAATTTGTATGAATTTTAAACACATAAGACTGAGTAAAATACATATACATATATAAAGAATATATGTATTAAGATTGTGTGTTTAAGAATTTTAAAATTAAAGATTGTGACATAATTGTGCAAGAAGGTTTGATTTGATTTAGACACTGAAAAAAATTAATTTAAGTTTATTAGCTTAACTTTGGTCCAATCAGTTGCAGATGACATGTACTTATAAACACTCCACTAAAAATATTTTTTTAGAGTTTTGAGAGACAAAAATATATTTATTTCAATTTTAAAAAAATATAATCTAGCCTATACGATTGTTTTTTTTTATTATTAAATATGTTATTAGCAAAAAATATTGGTTAAAAAAATATTTTAGAAGATCTACCAATAATATAAACTTTTAATAGGTGCGATAAAAAACGGCATAATGCTTCACTCTTACATAAGTATACATTAATGCATTGATTATAATATTAATCGAATGATATATATTTTATGATGGTTTTATTTATTTATTTATTTTAAGAATAAAGTCAGAGATTTTAAAATTTATTTATTTTAAAATTCATTACATAATAAAAAAATGCTAAAAAACAAAGAAATAAAATACAAAATGTATTTCGTTTGAAAACAAAATAACATTTTAAAAAGAAAAATATTCGTACAAAATAATGAATAAAAATTAAGTATATTAAACAATAAATTTTTTTTCATATAAATTAAAAATTATTGAAACTAAAATCTTAAATTTTAATAATATATAAGTTATATATATATATATATATATATATATATATATATTAATCACATAGATATTTTAAAATTTATTTATTTTAAAATTCATTTAATAATAAAAATATTGTAAAAAAAACAAATTAAAACAAATAAATAAAATATATATTTCGTTTGAAAAGAAAATAACCTTAAAAAAGAAAAAATATTCATAAAAAATTATGATTTTAAATTATTGAAATTTAAATATTAATTTTTTAATAATATATAAGTTTCTATATATATATATATATATATATATATATATATATTAAATACTTCTTTATCAAACTCTACAAGTTTAACATAATTAATATATATATATATATATATATATTAAATACCTTTATTAAATTATGTATAAATTGAAATTATGTATTAGAGAAAATAATTTTGCAAAAAAAATTAATATAATAAAATAATAATTAAGCTTAATCAATAAATAATAAAAAAAAAACCTGTAAGAATGATAAATTTGTCTTCTCCTATTATGATATTATTTATACAGGGAAGGATAATTTTTGTCCGAGTAACCTCAACATTTTCCATAATTAAAAATGGGGTATTAGAAATACTCTCTTGAAATTTTCTTTTTAACATTTTCTTTATTATTGATGAAACCCTATTTAAAATTATCAAATTTAATGGGTTTCACTTTTTATTTAACAAGTTTTTATTCGAATTTAACACTTTAAATTTCTAAAATTAATAATTTCAATTAAACAACAACAGACAAACTTATAGAAAAAAATTGGTAATATTTCTAATATTAATTAGAAATTAATATTAAATAATTTTTAAACAACTAATGATTTCATGGTGAAGACAAATTATTTAATTAGTTTCTTTTAAACAATAATAAAATTTTACTATCTTGTTTAAACATTAATAATATTAATAGTGTTAAAATTATTATAGTTAAGTGACTATTAGGAGTATTATTATTGATGGTAGTAGTTGAATTTATGAATTGTATCTATTGAATATATATATATATGATTAATATTAAGTTGGTATTAGAGCAGGTTAATCCTGTTTTACTAGTCTCAGTCGTTGTCGGCCACCGACTGCCATCTCCTTTTGTCGGTCGCCATTCGCTGTTGCCACTGTATCTCTTTATTATCTCTGCAATCTTCTATAAATAAATAAAAAATTCCAACAAATATGTTTTCTAAATCGGTTGTTTTTCTTTCTCAAGCACTCCTACCATCACTAATTGAATGAAAAAAATTATCTTTCTTGATATGCTTTCATTGAAATGTGGTTCATGACCACCTTGAACAAGATGCAAGCATAGTACATGCCTCCTGATAAAGATGAACAATGGAAGAGAACTAATTTTCAACTCTGTGCACTACTTTGGTAGTTTGTGGAACCTAAATTATTGGGTACGATTAGATCATTTAAACATTATAACTCCTTTTGAAAAAAGATTTAGAGTATCTTTGCAAATGATATTCGCACCTGCATGACTCTACAAATAGACTTGTCTCCCTTAAATAATCTGATCATGATATGATATCATTCATAAGTGAAGCTCAATCTACTATAGAAGAGTTAAAAACGTTTTTGGGAGTGAAGTCATTAGAAGAAATCAAGAAAAAATTAGATAAATTTTATATGGTGATGATACTTTGTGTCATGCATCCTAACTTTGAACATGTTAGAGATCAATTGCTAACAGGACATGAAGTCCCATTTATGGAAAGTTTGACCACTCATCTTCGTTCCTATTTTTCAAAAAAAAAAAAAAATGCTCATAACCTTATGAAATCTTCTGTCATGGTTTTCACACGTGGAAAAGAATGAGGATGTCATATTAGAGGAAGACATGATGACCGAGATCGTCCTTACTGCTCATATTGTAAAAGGATGGGTCTTGTTCAAGAGAATTGTTTCGTATTGCATGGTTTTCCTGACAAGTCTGCCCATATCTCTATAACTGATACTGCTGAACCAAAATTTTCTAATGAAGAATATTAAGAGTACCTAAGGTTGAAATCCAATAGCTTGACACAATTATCTACAATTCTCAGTTTGTCGACAACTTGCATCTCATAATATGTAGAAAGTCAAAATTCATAGACCATTGACTCAGGTACATTTGATCACATTTCTAGTAATACATCATTATTCTCATCCCTACCTTTTTCAAAAAGTTATCATTTCATAACTTTAGCTAATGGTTCTAAAGTTGCATCCCAAAGAGTCAATCAAATCTCTCTTTCTCCTTCATTAAATTTAAAATCTCTTCTTTTTGTTCTTTCTTGTCCCTTCAATCTTATTTCCTTAGGTCAATTAATCAAGTCCTTCAATTGTTCAATAACCTTTGATGCTGATTATTTTGTCAAATAGGAACGTGGTACGGGGTGTCAGATTGGAGAAGGACATGTGTCTTGTTTTGCATTCCCAAAATTGTTACATGATCGGTTGGGTCATTCTCACTTATCAAAATAAAATAAAAAATAGTCCCTGAAATTAGTAGTATTTAGACTTTATTGATGAGCTTATTTTTTCAAAAAAACTAGTAATTTTGTTTTCTCTATCATCCATTTAGATATTTGGGATCCAAGTCATGTCTCATTTTTTGGGTTTTGTTACATTTATTGATGAATATTTCAGGTGTACTTAGGTGTATTTGATGAAAGATCATTCTGAATTGTTATCCATCTTTACCTCTTTTTTGAAGGAAGTTAAAAATCAATTTGGTAAAGTGACTAAAATTCTCATAAGTGACAATATCAAAGAGTACTTCTCTTCCAATTTCTCACAAATTTTAAGTTCACATGATATTTTACATCAGTTTACTTCTCACCACACTCTTCAACAAAATGGTATTTCTGAAAGGAAAAATAAACACTTGGTTGAAACTGTTCGTGCCTTATTGATTGATGCCCCACTTACGAGTCAATTATTGGGGAGATGTTATCCTAATTGGTTGTTTTCTTATTAATAGAATGTCATCATCCTCTCTTAACAATAAGATCCCATATTCCATTCTCTTCCCAAATGACCCTTTCTTCCATGTTTCTCCTCGTATGTTTGGTTATGTCTGCTTTGTTCATGACATGTCTCCTAGCTTAAATAAACTATCTACCCATGCTGTTAAAAGTATATTCTTGGGCTATTCTAGGCTTCAAAAAGGATATCAGTGTTATTCTCCTGAAACAAAAAAGTACTACATGTCTGCCAGTGTCACATTCTTTGAACAGACTCCTTACTTTTCTTCATCTGTTCCAGACATCCCTTCCATCCAGGAGGTCTTACCTGTTGTAAAAGCTGATAGAGACATGAATGAACAAATTTTATTCTTGAGGCGTGTATAATAATTGTCCTTAAGGACTTATCTACGGTGTATTACACAAGTCACCCAGGATACAACAGGAACTTCTCGGAATTTCCCAGGATCTCAGAAACTAGTGAGAAACTCTTAAAGGAGTAAATAACCTAGGATAATAGTAGAACAAGAAGAAAATAGAGAAGATAAGATGAGAGAGATTTTTTTGAAGAGTGTAAAGTGGTCTCTATTTATAGATGTAGATTGGGCCCAAACCCTAACTACCTACGTTCTCTGTAACGTTCTCTGTAATGTTCCTTGTAATGTTCCCTGTAATGTTCCTTGTAATGTTCCCTGTAATGTTCCTTGTAATGTTCCAGGGAACGTTCTAAGTTTTGCAATACCCATTATTTTACAACAATCCCTCACATATTGGAAAACAAAAGAGATAAAAAAATAAAAGAAGAAAATTTTGGGTCTCATATAAGATGTAATGCATCAGAGTTGATATAGCAAGCTATATGAACCAGTTTTAGACTGAAAACTTAACACACAATGTAGTTGGTGTAACAAGTTATATCACTACAAGAAAATCGCATATTTCCGATGGATTTTTACCGACGGATTTGTAGCCGTCGGAAAATGAGTCATTACCGACGGAAATTACCGACGGATATAGAATTTGGTCTTACCGATGGATATATCCCGTCGGTAAATTAACAATTAATTACCAA